TCTCTCTCTCTCTCTCTCTCTCTCTCTCTCTCTCTCTCTATCTATCTATCTATCTATCTATCTATCTATCTCTATCTATCTATCTATCTATCTATCGGTCTGCCTGTTGGTCGTTCTGGCTGTCTATCTATTTAGCCAGAGAACCTAATCGGCTGTAACCTAACGATCGCGCACATGCAATTCACTTGTGTGTGTGTGTGTGTGTGTGTTTGTCATATTCGCTATACGCATGTGTTGTCATGTGTGCTATACACAACATTAAAAAAACAAAACAAAAAAAAAAGCATGACCGTGCCACTGATTCGTCGGACTTTAACCGGCTGATCAGGAGGATGAACTCCCCCGACAGTCTGCGCCGGATCCATTTGACTGTTGGATAAGGAATCAGCACGTCTCCCACAGTCAGCGACACCATCGTTGAGAGAGAAAAGTAGTAGACTTTACTCACACCAATCCTGCAATCCTAACAGCAGACTATCAATCTAAACCGCTGACAAGAATGGCAGTAAGTCCGAGAAACTCCTCTGCCACAGCCATAAAACCGACTCTACACTCCCCCTCAGCTAGGAATATCCACTGTGTGCGCGCGTGTGCGTTTGCCTGTGGGTGTGCGTGTGAGTGTATGTGTGTGTGTATGTGTGTGTGTATGTGTGTGTCTATGTGTGTGTGTGTGTGTGTATGCGTTGTCGAGCCCTTCTGTGCGGACGAACGTAGACGCGATGGCAATTGGGAGGGGGAAAAACATCTCTTCGACATAGTATTTGCCAAAATGGTCTATAACCTCATTAACAGTATGGAAAATCATAGAGCCGTTCAAAAATTAAAAATATAAAATAATATAGTCGTAACGAAAATTATGAAAAATGAAAATTAAAAATTTAGAAAACAAACAAATATAATTAAAAATATATATATTGTCACACTGGAAATGAAAAGGAGGGGGGGGGAAGGAAATCATAGAAAAAGACATTAAAAAATCTGATTGCGTTGGAAGAACCGGGGACAGGATACAAACAACACTTAGTCGATGGCGCCATTGACTACTATTACCCTGTTCCGCCGATATGCCCGGGAACAACGACAGATCCACTGAACCTCAGATGGCAATCAAGCGCCAGACCCCGACCCCGACAAGCAGAGGGATATTACTATGACTGCGGAAATCAGAATTCCCAACGTGTACCAATCAGAGCGCACATCGTCTCTCATTATGGGTCGATTCTTTTTTTTTTCTTAATGGCCCTATGGATCTTATGGGTCTATGGGTGGACACTTTTTTTTTTTTTAATGACGCGCGAAATGAAGATTCTGGTCGGGGGGAAACAGATTTCGGCAGGGGGATAAGAGTTTTTGGCGGGTGACGAGGGAGAGAGTTTTTGGCGGGTGGCGGGGAAAAGAGAGTTTTCGGCGCGGGAACGAGTTTTGGGCGGGAAAAAAGGAGTTTGGGGCAGGGGGATGAGGTTTTGCGGGGGAATGGAGTTTTTGGCGGGGAACGTGTCTTCGGCGTGGGGATGAGAGTTTTTTGGCGGGTGGCAAGGGAGAGAGGTTTTGGCGGGTGGCGGGGGGAAGAGCGTTTTCGGCGCGGGAACGAGTTTTGGGCGGGAAAAAAGAGTTTTGGGCAGGGGGACGAGGTTTTGAGAGGGAATGGAGTTTTTGGCGGGGAACGTGTCTTCTGCGGGGGATAAGAGTTTTTTTTGGCGGGTGGCAAGGGGGAAAGGTTTTGGCGGGTGGCGGGGGGAAGAGAGTTTTCGGCGCGGAACGAGTTTTGGGCAGGGGGATGAGGTTTTGAGGGGGAATGGATTTTTTGGCGGGGAACGTGTCTTCGGCGCGGTAAGGAGGTATTGGCGGGACTGAGGKTTTGGTGCGGGAATATGTTTTCGCCGCGCGGTGGCTGAGCTTTTAGCGGACTGGCGGTAGGCGACGGTCAGGATCCCAGGGTTAGGCCCTTGGATTACTTCTTGAAATTTACAAAAAAAAGAAAAAATAAAAAGCACAGAAAGAGAGAACCATACCTTTCTCGGCCTTTTGGCTAAGATCAATTGTAGTATCTGTTCTGATCAGTTTAATATCTGATCCGCGGTCCATCGGGCCACAAAAAAAAAAAAAAAAAAAAAAGAAAGAGAGAACGAATGCACGTGTGGTCCCCCCAAACATACAGAACCCTGCCCCGTCGATCAGCCCAGAAAAGATATTCTGGCTTTTAAGACATCGTATCCGTCCGGAGTTCAACAAGCGGCAAGAAGAAGGGGTTGGCTCCGATCCCGACGTGCCCATCCCAGCCCGACACATTGAGCCTCGACATCCTGAAGGGGATCGGGACATTCTCCCTTCATACTTTCGCACCCATCCTGAAGGGGATCGGGACAGTGATCACGACGCTACTACAACTTCTACGCCAGATCACACAAGAGAGTTACAGTAAGTTTAAAAAGCAGGCTCTCCATGGCAAGAGGGAAGAAGATTCTCAGATTCTCCTCTACAGAGGGGGAACGGGGGGACACGGGGGGGCGAAGAGGAGGGGGGCGGGGGTGCGGGATGAAAAGAATAGAAAAGTCAGCTGTGAGGGCAAGAAGAGAGACGTGAGGTCGAGGAGGCAGGAGACAATAGACGACGCATCATCTACGGCCAGCCAAACCACAGGAGGAGGAGGAGTAAACGGGAGAGAGCTGGAAGCACAAGGCAGAAGTGAGAGAGAGAGAGAGAGGGGGTGCGAGAAGAATGACCGAGAGGAGGGGATGAAGAGGAGGCAAGGGAGCAGAGATTGGCACGGTATGATGGGTCGGTACCTCACAAGCTGCGCGTAGCTCTCTCTATTCCTACAAGGTAACAGATACCGAATCGATGTACGCCATAATAACAAATGGTAATACTCACAATAGAACTTTTTTCCATGGAATCTGGGCGTAATTACGGTCAGATTCGGTGGAAATTTCTCTAGTTTGAATATGCTATAGGGCCAGTATAGGCAATTATACACTGGCATCCAAGTAATTGATCAGGGCAGCACTGCTATCTCACCTTCTCGTCGGAACTCTCCCGATCTTTCGCGCAAATCCTTAGCCATGATATCTGCAATCTTGGTGCGGCGCCTCGACATCGTGGAAATCCGATGAAGTTCGGCTATGGTTCTTGGAGTATACTCGAAGGAGGGAACCTCTCTTCCCACCAGATGGAACACCTCCTGCAGCCATGTCTTCACCTCCGCAAATTGCTGCGGATCAACCACAGGCCGCCTCTCCTCCTCCCCATCCTCATAATTCCCCGACTGCTCAGCCGTCCCCCCCGTGCGTCTCTCGGCCATCGCTGGCTCTTGTCTTGTGAGCCCGCCTTCTTCCTTCTCTGCTCGTAAACCCTTGAGGCGACCTCCTACTCCTACTCCTTCTCCGCCCAGAGCAACGATGATCAGATCAAACACACTCCCCTCTCCCTTTCTCGCTTTTGCTCCCCCCTGTACCTTTGCCCCTCTCCCTTTCTCCCTCGTCCTCCCCTCTGTGAGACTCTCTCTCCCTTTCGCCCTTCTCCTCCCCCCCCGTGTTCCTTTCTCCCTTTCTCCCTTTTCCTCCCTCCCCCCCTGTGCCTTTCTCTCTGTCCCTCCCTCTCCCTTTCTCTTTAGTCCAAATTACATCCTCTACATGAGTGCCGGCGACCCGGCTGGTCGGACCCGGTAAACCCTAGAGTCCCACAGTGGCCCCGCGGTAAACCACGTGGCCTGCCACGTGGCGCCGGAAAACCCTAGAGTACAGTAATAGGCACAGGAAGCTTCACCCGGTAAACCCTTGAGTACCACAGTGGCCCCGCGGTAAAGAACGTGGACTGCCACGTGGCGCGAGACGGTTGCTCGGTGCTCACCTTCCTCGCACTTCCTAGATTACGTCCTAGATTAGCCGCTCGTCTGCGTGAGCGAATGGCACCCGGCCAAGGCGTTCAAGCGGTGACCCCGCGTGACCCCTGCACCGCACATACGGTGCCAACGATGGCGTTGACGACAACAAAGCATCTCCAAGGAATCAGCTACGGCCTACAGGACAGCGACCGGTAGCTGTGACCACCGCCTTGTGGAAATTTGTTCGTCGCCTACTCAGAAAACTTCGAGGTTGTCCTTCGGGACATCTGTTAGACCTAGCTCAGTTGGTAAGGCACGCAAGTGGCATGCAGGAGGCCTTGGGTTCAATCCCCATTGTCCTCATGCACCTTCCTGGGCAAGCTTCGCGCCCGCCACCTAGAGATATGTCGTTGGTCCCCCCGAGTGGCATTGAGCAGAGACTGCTGATGTTCATAGGGGGAGGGGACCGCAGGGGAGGCACAGTGACTGGCCCATCGAAGAAGCTCGGTCCTGATGCTACCGGCTGACCCCTGGCCGGTATCGCTCACCTCGCTCACCTGCTGTAGCAGGTATCGCACCTGCTGGTGGGTGCAGCTCCCGCATGTTCCCTCATTGGAGGCTTGAGCACGGATGTGGCTGCTACGGGGTTCCCCGTAATACTAAAATGACAATAAAAAAGGCCTGAAAGGCCGTCCTGTCCAGATTTGACAGGTAATTGAATTGGTTGGGCTTGAAGAATTAGCCTTTCAAAAAA